TTTTTTGTAGAGACAGAGGTCTTGCTTTGTTGCCAAGGCTGGTTTTGAACTCCTGGCCTCAAGCAACCCTTCCAGCTCAACCTCCCAAAGTGCTGAGATTAGTTATGGGCCGCCACGACAGCCTAGCAGCTTTCTAAGGAAAGAATTGCAGGAGTCCCTCTGTTTAGAAGAAGCTAGTTGGGCCTTAGCAGGCATTTTGAATTTTACAGATTTCTTTCCATTACAGAACCACTGCAAGGAGAATCTATATCAATCTAATAATTGGAAAGAACCTTTCAGATTGTCTTCCTTCCAGTGGTTCTCCATTTTTCTCAGATGAAATCCCTCTTCCTCACCCTTGTTTAAAGACCCTTTGGGGTGTCTTCTCACAGCAATGCCTTGGCCCTACCCTGTCCCTCCTTCACTGATTCTCCCACAAAGGCAAACTGTCCCAATGCTGTTTCCACAGCCCAGCAAGGATGGTAGGCATATCCATGGGCATTTGTCACTGATGACACTGTAATGCATTTGGCAAAGAAGGCTGTTCTCCTCTTTGCTAATCCTGCCTCCCATCCTCTTCTTAATAACTATGGAATAGCGGAGGCCAGACTTTTACTTTTCTTAAGACCGTATAATGGCTGGCTCATTTGGGAAAGGAAGTTCAATGAAAGAAAGGGAAATAGAACTGCCACTAGCAGAGGCTATTTTGGGAGACCATAGGCGCCAGCCCTCCTTGGAATCCATCACAGGGCTTCTTGTTGGCTTCACTCCTGGCCTGCAGTCATTGGCGGGGCCGATTTACTTCCTAGTGAGGCTTCTGTACATACTTCTTCCTGTAAGTTCAATTCAATTGCTGAAAGGCTTGGAGAGAGAGTTTCTTGTAGTCCACTTCTCACCTTAAGATGAATTAACCCCTTTGTGCCTGTTTCCTCTTTTGTAAAATGAGGAAAGTGACAGCTCATATATACATGGTTATTGTGAATATCAAATGAGTTACTGTAGGTAAAGCTTTTAGAACAGTTTCTAGCAATTCTGGATAAATGTTAATGAATTCTGGACAGGTTCTGGATAAATGTTAATAGTAAGTTCTGTATAAATGTTAGTTATTAATACCCACACCACACTATTGAACTTAATGCCACATGTCCATTACCTTACACTTCCACAGCTGGGTCTTTTGGCATAGGCAAAAAATTTTTATTTTTCACTAAGAAATTCTGTCTGTTGGCTTGGAATCATTATTCTAAACTGGTGAAATATTTTCCATAGAGTATATCATCCAACAGATTATTATCTTCAATTTAGTATGGGATACCACCTGAGTTCTCCCTCACTGTGAATACTGATTTTGTTTATTTAACAAATTGATGAAGGGCCTCCTATGTGCCATGTTTCTAAATGCACATGTGTGTATGTTGTGTGTTCATGAGTGATTAAGGAGGGACAGAATTGTCTCATCTTAAAGGTGCATATAGTTTTTGATAAAAGAGGTATGTTGAGCACAAGTAATATAAATATTTAAATATTTGGAGATGGGGCAAAGTAAAGAGAGGATCCTGGATGTGGGCTGACTTTGAGCAAACTGCTCCATAAAGATCTAGCTGGGAAGATTCTTGGGTGAAAGATCTAGGTTGGTATAGTTCTCATTAAAGAAACTTATCTTGTAGAAATCCACACTAGATAGAAAGGTGAGTTTTTATTTTTCAATCTTCAGATTTAAAAATATTTATTAACTATATCACATCTTAACGTCATGAACAGAGCGAGATTAGCTTTGTTTAACCAAAACAGGACAGCCCGTGAAGCTTAAAAAAAATCAAATATAGGATAAGTCACAAGAAGGCCTATTATAAGTAGTGAGTAGTAAACTAGGAGATGATCTAGACAAAAAAATATTTGGTGGCTTTAAAACTATTTCACATTTCTTTGTAGTAAGGGTTCTACTTGGAGAATGCAAGACTTGTGGCTAGATAACCATAAAATAAATTCTGGTGAGTTAATAGCCTTTCAGCCTTTCAGAGAAGTTAGAGCACATAATGGAGGAAGAAATACTAATGATTCCCAGTGGTGATGTGGAAGAGAAGAAAGTGCTTTTGGCAGCCAAAGGGCTTACACAAAGCAACATATCCAGGAAGGACTAAGGGCTTGAACCTGTCCTACCCTAGACAGGAAGAATTTCAGGAGAGGACTGAGCAGGAGACATAGCCTATTGTGACCGTGGCTTTCCTGCATCAAAGGCTGCAGTGGATGTTTCCTTTTATAACTCACAGTGAATATGGCTGTACAACAAAACTATTTTGTAATTTCTTTCCTGAAATATAAAGGAGTTAGAACATAGGATCTTTCATTGATTCTCTAGAATCTTAAGACTCCTTCAGGGATGGCAGTTATTCCTGCCATGCTCAACATCATGTTGTCACGGTCAGAATCAGAACTAAATTGATTAAGGGTCTGAAACAGTTTGGCAACTCTTGGGCACTTGTGTTGATAAGAAAGCTGATGAGAACAGGGTCATGAAAAGAAGCTGCAAGAAATGACCATTCATGCGTTCGGCTAACATTTAGGCCACCCTCCTGTATTCCAGGCACTGTGCACGGCACCGAGAATGCAAAGCAAAATGAGACACGGTCTACTGGCAGCAGCCTTCTCAGTGGAGAAAAGATCAACCAGAAAAGTGCCTGCCTGCTGGGGACCTCTCCTAGGGCACAAGCCAATATAGAGGTGGGGCAGCCACGTCAGCCTGAGGTGTCCTCAGGCAGAACAGAAAGTGAGAGCAGTATCTCATTTCTGAACACCAGGATTGTAGCTTTCCCTTGACTGTCAAAGGGGGTGGTTTTTAAAAGCAAGCCAAACAGGTTTCCATCTTTTAGGAAGACCCCGGAACGTGCCAGTGGATTCTGACAATTTCTCATGAACAGAAACACCTAGGAAGGGAGAACTGGTGAGTCTTTGCAAGTGGAGGAAGTCACTCAAAAGGGGTTGTGTTTCATATACGGCGCCCCGAAGGGGCAGAACTACTTCGACCTGGAGGAAAAAGAGTCAGGCACTGAGGGAAGGGGAGGGTGCACGTCTGGAGTAATTTCAAGGCTTTTTCCGTGTTGTGTGGTGTAGCAACAAGGAGAGATTTGTTCGTTTTATTTATTTTTGTAATTTTTAAAGATTTTCTTTTCCCCCCTTTTCTCCTCCCAGCCACTCCGGTTTGGGTTTGCCACATGACTCATAATTCCTTTCAAAAGTGGAGTCGAATTCATAAAAGTGATGGGGGGAGGGGTGCGGATAGCGAAGGCTGGGAGCCCCAGGGAGTCTTCACTACCTACACTGCCGCTCAGCTCCCGGCGCGAGTGGAGGTCGGGGTGGGGAGACGCGGCTCGCGCCCGGGATGGCGGATACTCTGCGAGCCCCGGCGGCCCGCGGCCGGGCCGGGTGACGAGGCGGCGGGCGCGGAGGGTCTGCGGCGGGCGGGCGGCGCTGCAGCAGCCTGGGCACGGCCGCCGCCGCCCGCGGGCGCGAGTGTGCGCGGGTGTGGAAGGCCGGCGTGCGGGCCGCGAGGGGTGTGCGCGCGTGAGCCGGAGCGGGGCTCGCCCCTCGCCGGCGCCCGCCGCCCCGCCGGTGATAGCTCTCCGGCCGTCCCCAGCACCCTGGGCCCCCCACGGCCGTTGGTCCGGGCGGGGGAGGGAGAAAGTGAGACTCGGTGTCATCACCATCCATTGTCAGAAGGGGAGGAAATTGGAATCCAGCAGCGGCGAGCAGCAGCTGGGCGGTCACATCTGGGAATGCAAAGCCGACCTCCCCCTCCTCCTCCTCCTCCACCTCCTCCTCCTCTCTCACCCAGGATCACTTCCGAAACCACTTCGCCTTCAGCCCCTGCCTCGGCCAGAGGTTTCATTTTTATCTGAATATTTACGAAAGCTGGAAGCGTGCGAGGGGGGTGGGGTGGGGTGGAAATAGCGGCTGCTTCTTTTCCAGGGATTTATTTAATGGGGATGTGTTCAAGGCAAGAGCGAATTCAGAAGGATATCGACGTCGTGATCCAGAAGTCCAGAGCCGAGAAGGACTGCCTGTTTGCAGGTGAGTTCTTGCTTTTCCAGAACCTCGGACCCAGCGCCCCCTTCCCAGTTTTCCGACCGCGACGTGTGTGGCTGGGGGTGGGGTGGAGGGTTGCACGTCCCCATTCTGGGGTTCATTTGGCAACAGCTGCTGCAACCAGAGCGGGAGCCAAAAGGGGGAGGGGGCGCCAGCCTCTCCCCTTCCCTTCCCCCACCCCCAAGTCTGGGGCAGCCTCCAGCTTTGAGGGCAGAAGCCGCGTGGCCCGAGCGGGGGTCTAGGCGAAGGGGAAGTGCATGATATTTCCAGCCCAGCTTAGTGCCCGAAGCCTCCAAGCCCGCCTCCTGGGTTCCAGCAGCGGCGGCCGAGCGGGGTTGGTTGGACCCGCCGGGTTTGCGCAATGGGCTGAGCGGCGGCGGCCCGGAATGGAGCCCGCTGCGCTGCGCTGGACGCCGAGGACCCCCCGGGGGGCAGCGCTCGGCGGATTCCCGGCCCCTTCGGCTGCCTCTAGTTCCCTCCGACTGGCAAAGAGAAGGGATTCCTCGGATTCCCAAGGCACCCAGTGCCCCTGCTTGAGGGTCGCCGTTCGTCCATTTTGCTCCCCCGGGAGAGGAATCGGATTTTGCTTTCGCTGCCGCGAGCCCGGCGGGGGCTGCTTCCGGCCTCCCCGACCGGGAAATTCCCGCCGTTGCCATGGCACCCGGCACTTGTTGCGGGGGGCGGCCTCCCGCTGCACCCAGCCGGGGGCGCGCAGCATCCCCTCGGACGCGCCGCGGAGATGGGACTTCGCCGCCCTCCTGCCCTCGCCTCCCGCGCAGCCAGGCCTCCCCTGACGCCACCGAATGGGGCCCCAAGTCATGATCGGGGTTAAAACAAATGCACTCCAGGGGTAGCTTTTAACAGGACTTTCTGTTTCAGATTTCAGATACTCAGACTCTACCTTTACTTTTACCTACGTTGGCGGCCCGAGAAGGTATTTATGTGTATAGAGTTGCTTCATTTCCTGTTCACACGCTTGTGTTTCCTTTGTTCTTAGCGTGTTCCGTGTTCGGGTATTTTGGTTGCTTGTTTGTTTGATTATTGTGGGTGTTCTTTACCCACAACCCAAGCCTGGCGTCCCTCGGATTTAAATAGCGGGGAGAGGGGGGTGGAAATCAATGTTTGGTGATTCAGGTGTTTCGTAGACCACGCCACAGGCAATGAGCAGAACTCTTCGTGTTCAAACTGTTCGGCTACAGTACTAGATTGCTCGGGTGATTTGGGGTTGATACAGTCAAGCCGGTGCAAAACTGGAATACTGGATATGAAGTGAAATGCAAAATACATGTCACAAAATAGTTTGAGCACAAGTGATGATTTTCTTGGTGAGTTAGGGCTGCACGTTTCCATGTTTTCTGAAGGTTCACATAAACATGCAGCCTGCCAATCCTCTATACAATTTTTTTTTCAGTGAGTAGTATTTTCACGTTTAGTTGTAAGAAGTAAATTGGAGACTTATATGTAGCTGGAGTGGATGACTTCTTTCTTTTGGGGGGAAATATGAGAGATGCACATTTTGTTAGTAAATTGTGAACAACTTTAAACAAGCCCAAATCCAATTATGTATTTAGTAAATAGATTTAAAATGAAAGGTAGCCAGTCAAATACTATGCCTTGCTGCCTTCACTGGTGAGGTTAGAATTTTCTTCCTTTTAGCCTTTTAGGGACACAATAGTTTAAAAAAGCAGTAGCCACATCAGAGATGTGTCAGATTTAGCCTGGAGGGGATTCCTCAGACCAGCCCTGCTGTTAAGACTTGACATTCAATATTGTTTGACCACATTCCAAAATATCTCTTAACTAGTGGAAACATTTATAAACATATAAATTGCAAAAGAAGCTATCTTGTCTACGTACATTTTTGAAAGCTTGAAATTGATGTGAACTTTTAAAAACACCAGGATCTGTATTACATTCTACATCTCAAAACAAATTTAATTAAAGTGAGTATCATTCCAGTATATACAATGCCTAAGCCCCGGAATTGGCACATTGATTTACTAGTTGAAAATATAACAGTGAATCACCAAACTTCAGTGTATACTTTGTGGGAAAGAATGAAATTACAGTATTTCTTAATTTACTATAATGTCATCTTTGTAATTATGAATTAAAAATTCAATGAGACTTTATTAAATTAACGCTGTTCCTACACATCATATCTAAAGGATCTTTTCATATGACTAATATCCTGTTGGATTATTTTAACATTATTTAAAATTATTACATTATTTTAAATAGTAAATTAAAAAAATTTTAATAAATTTTAAAATTGTTATTTAAAGTATTATATTATTTAAAATGTACAAAGTGGCCTATTAAAAACAGAGTTCACTGTTTTCACTATTGCTGTTTTTCTGGTGAGACATGTGGATAGGAAGGCCCTGGGTGGGCTTTTTAACTAACTAGCTTTCTGATTTTCAGTAAGATAACCTCAGTTATTTTGGCCTCAGTTAGCTTATCTGTACAATCAAGAGGTAAGTCATATGGTTAATTTCTAAGATCTGTTAGATACTGCAGTTAAGATTATCAGTAAATTATTGAACTCTAGTGATAACATAGCTAGAGGTGGAAAAGGGAGCAAAGCCTGGTGTTGGGATGAATAATTAACTAATCGAGATCACATTAGTTTTCACCATAGGAAGAAGTACCATGGTTGCTCTTAAAGTAAGAGATGTTTTCTATTTTATGTAATTCTGTTAAGGGATAGTGTTTTCTTTTGTAACTGATGTAAATGTACCTGGATGTTTCTCAGCCATTTGGCTAAGAAATCAAGTGCAAGGGTACCTGGGCCTTTTATATGTAATCTAATGTAGATCAGCTTGTTAAAAGAGAAAGACAGCTGGTTAAACTGCTGATGTGTTGCTTTGTCGTCTCAAAAGCTTGTTCTATCATACATACCATATGTTAAAAGTTGTTATAGTGTAGTAACTGTAGATAATCCCTTTATGATTTGTACCTAATGGAGAAGATCTTTTATTTTTCTGAAAATAATGTGTTTGTTTTCATTACCGACATTAGAAACCAATATTTATTAATCTATTTCTCATCCTGACATTTCAGTCAGACTCTTAAAATAATCTTTTTGTATTTTCGTTTAATGTGCTTATCAACTTATAATTTCAAACTAATAGTATCATTTTAGGTGAACTAGACTTCATCATTGAAGAAGGTAGGAGCCTTATGGAGAGATAGTATATAATTATCTCTAATTGTATTTAGTTATTATCTCATCTAACCATTAACATATTTTAAGAATAATTTTTAATTCTAGTAGTAGATAAAACTTAATGTGCCATTTTCTCTTTGACACTTTCCAAGAATGAGTTATACAGTGTTTTAAAGACAAAGATTGATCTTACATGTTACTATTCAAAAAAAAAAAGAAATAATATGAGAATTGGGTTCTACATGTATACTTTTTAATTTTTCTGTGGATAAGAAAAAATGCCAAGAGGTGATTGTGTCCACGCTGTCAAGTGGCCTAATAAATTGTCCTTTTATTTGGTGGTCCTCAGAATGGCAGCTAACATCTTGCTATTCTGCCTTGTGGACTCGAAGTGGGAAGGTTCATGGAATTATATCCTTGCTTTTGCATGTGCAAACTGAGACTCAGACAGTTTAAGACACATTGTTGCTTTCACCAGTTTAATGATAGAGCTGCCATGTAAACCTGTTCTGACACACTCTGAGACCTCCTTCTTCTCCATTAGTGTTCTCAAGCTTTTTGAGCATGCAGACCCTATACCATCAAAAAATTATGTAGAGACATACTTGAGAGTTACAGTTTAAAGAAAAACAAGTTATAATTTGGTTATTAGTAGCATTTACGTATGCTTGAAAACTTGTGCTATATATATGGTAAGATTAGTTTATTCTAACAATGACCTTGATAATCCCCCTGATTCCCAGACTCGGAATAGCTCCACAGCTATCAGTGGTTCTGCCACAGGTTCAGAGCCTTCCCAGTACTGCCTTCTTATTCGAGAGGTGTGCCAAGAACTATAAATTGTAGTTCAATTTATATTGAACTACAATTTATAGTACTAAACTATCAATTGTACACAATTTGGAAGTTTATGCAAAAGTAATTTCTTCCCTATACGTTGTCATGCTTATCTCCTGTCTCTTTCTGTTTTACTGATTAGCAATAAACTCCTTAAAACCCAAAGATTTGGGCTTCTGTTTCTTTCACTTGCAATCAAACATGGAGTTAGTGGTAGAAGAAACAGAAGAGGTAACTTACATGGTGACAGCTACTGAGGGGATGGATAGGAATCCAGACTCAGTCCCCGGGGCCAGTGTTTACCAAAGCCAAGGAGAGGGCAAGGGGAGCCCAATGGGCCTGGTCATGGGCTGGTCTGGGATTCCGAGTGTGAGCTTTCAGCCAGGAATGTATTGTGGAAATATTACTGTGAGATTTTAAAAGTACACAAATAATAATTGTTTGTTGTAAAAAAAAAAAAGTTAGAAAAAGAGATGCTGAAAAGTAGTAAAAAATACATGATTTCTGTTTTCTGTTAACATATTAAAATTTATTCTTTTAGATTTTTTGTATGTCTATATACATATAAAATATATATACACCCCCAAATTGTATTATACTCTTTTGAGACTTCACATTTTTTTTCTCTCAAGAATATAACATTAATTTCTTTCCTTTAGAAAAGACATGAGACTAAAGAATGTTTATTAAGTTGAGAGTTTCCCAGTCAAGGAGTATGACTCTGTATAATAATAAATCTAATGTTTATATTAGAAATTATAATAAAATTAGAAATTTAATATTTGGCAGAATGTTGTGAGTTGCCTGAATATGCATACCCTTTATTATATGACTCTTTCATGTGGTCACGGATATATTGGCATCTTTTGAAGTGTATCCTTTTTGTCTTAGGAGCTTCTGTCCAGATAAATAGCAAATGCGACACTGATAATAGTAATCTAATATTCCTCAAAGCACAGGCTCCCTCTTTCTCCTGAGCCTTTGTACACGCTGCCTGGAACACTCAGCCACAACCTACTTTCCATCCTCTCCTCTGGCTCATCCCTGCTCTAAGCCAAATTCTCAGAGAAGCCTTTCCTGTCATCTTCCCCTATATGATTCTTCTAGGTGTTTCTAAAACTGTGTTGCTACAGTATATTGTAATTGCCCATTTACATCTGTTTGACTGTGAGCCTCTTGGAGATGGGAGTTCTCTCCTATGCCTCGAGGTTTCCCCAGCCCCTAGCACACTGCCTAGTCCAGGTTTCCTTCTCAGTCAGTAGGTGTTGAATGACTTACAAAATGAATGCTAAAAGATCTGGAAGGCAAGAAGGAATTTCCTAGCCTAAATAACCAGGTGTGGAGAAGATACTCAGACACTTCAGAGTCCCCAATATGGTGATGTCACTTGCTATGGAATTTCATATAAACCCAGTGTGACAGAAGTTGCCTAGTCAAGTTTTAAGTCCTCTTCTCTGGGTCACATATTTAAACAATTTTAGGGGACAGATAATGCAATATTGCAGATACTAGGGAGTGATAAGGACTATGGCACACTGGAGAGTTTGGACTCCAGGAATAATTAATTCAGTTGAAAAAATCAACAGTACTCTGGTGACCAAGCAAACTTTCTAGGGGCTCTAATCCACTTGGGCCCCCAGTGTGTAATTCCAAAACTCAGGGATGCCATCAAGGGAAACAATCTACTCGATTGCCAGAGGGCCTTTGTTTTCTTTGAAGTTCTCTAGGAGGGAGCAGTGTATGTGTGTGCAGGGGTGGGGAGGCGGAAGATGAAGAACCAGTCCCATCCCCTTAAAAAGGTTTGTCAGTTTTCATTATGAAAGAAGTTCAAACGTGCTCACTCCAGAAATCGTGGCATACACAGTTATTTTGAAGCCATTTGGTGTTCTTCAAGATGACACAATGAAAAGAGTGATGATTTTTTTAAA